GGTGTCTGTTCAGGTTTCTTACCCACTTTTTAATCAGGTTGCTTGTTTTCTTATTGTTAAGTTTGAAGAGTTTTTGGTATATTTTGGATAACAGTCCTTTATCAGATAATGTCTTTCGTAAAATATTTTCTGTCAGTATGTGGCTTGTCTTTTTATGCTCTTGACAGTGTCTTTCACAGAGCAGAGATTTTTAATTTTAATGAATTCTAGCTTATCAGTTCTTTCTTTTATTGACTGCACATTGGTGTTATATCTAAACAGTATTTACCAAACCCAAGGTCATCTAGATTTTCTCCTGTATTATTTTTAGTTTTGTGGTTTTGCATTTTAACATTTAGGTCTGTGCCTATATTCTTTTTTTTAAGTTTTTTTTTAAGAATGTAAGGTCTGTGCCTATATTCTTTTTTTTTTTTCATGTGGATGTTTAGGTGTTCCAGCACAATTTGGTGAAGACTATCTTTGCTCCATTGTGTTACCTTTGCTTCTTTATCAAAGAGCCATTGACATTGTTTCTTTTGATGTATTTCTGGGCTCTCTATTCTGTTCCATTGATCTATTTTTCTGTTCTGCTGCAATACCACATTGTCTTGATTACATATAGTAAATTTGAAATTAGTCCTCTGACTTTGTGCTTTTCCTTAAATATTAATATTGTTTTGGCTATTCTGGGTCTTTTGCTTCTCTAAATAAACTTTAGAGTCAATTTGTCAATATCCACAAAATAACTTGGTGGGATGGATCTTGATTGGAATTGCATTGAGTCTATGGATCAAGTTGGGAAGAACTGACATCTTGAAAATATTGAGTCTTCCTATCCATGAACATGGGATATCTCTCCATTTATATAGTTATTCTGATTTCCTTCATCAGAATTTGTAGCTTTCCTCGTATAGATCTTTTACATATTTGGTTAGATCTATACCTAAGTATTTCATTTTCATGGGTTCTAATGTAAATGATATTGTGCTTTTAATTTAAAATATTACTTGTTCATTGGTGATATATAGGAAGGCGATTGACTTTTATATATTTATCTTGTATCCTGCAACCTTGTTATAATCGCTTATTAGTTCTAGGAGCTTTTTGTTGACTCTTTTGGATTCTCTACATGAATGATCATATCTGCAAACAAGGAAACTCTTAGTTCTTCTTTTCCAATCAGGATGACTTTTATTTCCTCTTCTTGTCATAGTGCATTAGCCAGGACTTCTAATATGATATTGCAAAGGAGTATTGAGAAGGGACTTTCTTGCTTTTTTCCTGATCTTAGTGGGAAAGCTTCTAATTTCTCACCATTTAGTGTGATGATAGCTTTAGGTTTCTTGAAGATGTTCCTTATCAAACTTAGGAAGTTCCTTTCAGTTCCTTGACTGAGAGTTTTTATCATGAATGAGTGTTAGATTTTGTCAAATGCCTTTTCTGTATCTATTAATATGATCATGTGAATTTTGGTTTTAGCCTGTTGATGAGATAGATTATATTAATTTATTTTCAAATGTTGAACTAGTCTTGCCTACTGGGGATAAATCTCACTTGGTTGTGGTATATACTTTTTTTACATTTTGTTTTGCTAATATTTTCTTGTGGATTTTGAATCTATGTTCATGAGAGATATCAATCTATAGTTTTCTTGTCATGTCTTTGTCTGATTTTGGTATTAGGGTAATGCTGGCCTTATAGAATGAGTTAAGAAGCATTCCCTCTGCTTCTATCTTGTGAAAAGATTTCTGAGAATTGGTATATTTCTTCCATAAATGTTTGGTAGAATTTATTACTGAACTCATTGGATACTCTATTCATTTCCAGACTGTATAATTGCAATTGACCTATTTTCAAATTTGATGATTCTTTCTTCTGCCAGCTCAGATCTGCTGTTGACCACCTCTAGTGAACTCTTCATTTCTGTCATTGTGCTCTTCAACTCAAGAATTTCTATTTGGTCCTTCTAAATAACTTTCTCTCTTTATTGATATTCTTTATTTGGAGAAACATTGTTTTCATACTTTAGTTATTTTAACTTGGCTTTCTTTAGTTCTTTGACATATTAACTAATCTGAACTCTTTGTCTACTAATGCTAACATGTGGGTCTTCTCAGTGACAGTTTCTACTAATTGCTTTTCTCCTGTGTGTGGACCATACTTTTCTGTTTCATTGTGTATCTAGTAATTTTTTGTAAAAAACTAAACATTTTAGATAAAACAACGGTAACAATCAGAAAACCCCACAGCAGGGTTTGTTGTTGCTATTGTTTTGTTGTTGCTGTTTGTTTAGTGACTCCCCTGGACTAATTCTGTAAAGTCTACATTTCCTGTAGTGTGTGGCCACTGAAGTTTGTTTGATTAGCCTCATGTCAGCTAATGATTGGTCAGAGTTTTTTTAAATGCCTTAAACCAATAAGTCTTCCAGTCTTCGCTGAGTGGCTATATGCCTATTGGGACACACCTTGGAAGATAAGGGAGTTTCTAACACTTTTAGCCTTCATTTCTTTCTTTCTTTTTTTTAAAAGATTTTTATTGGGGTATTCAGGGGAAGGGAATAGTGCTGGCGAATTGGGGGAAGGGGAACAGACAAGTTGCTGTCCTTTTGTTCTTCAGTCTAGTTGTGGAGGACGTTGCTTCACTGGCCCAAGTTGGCACCATCATTGTGCTCTTCCCGGGCCAGGCAGATCAGTTGCCGGCTTCTGGACGGCCGCTCACTGCGGCTGCTGGCTGCTCACGTTGGCTGCTTGCTACATACAGTAGCCCATGGCAACCCACTGCCACAGGGGCTGCAGCCTACGCCATTGCCGGCGACTCACAGCAGCCCAGCACCAGGGTGAGCTGTTGTTCAGCATCTTAGCTGTGGAGGGCAGTGTCACTGGCCCTCATATGTGGGATCCGAACTGGGGCCCTCTGGCGTCCCAAGCCAGTTTTTAACCATTGCACCACTCGGCCGGCCCTAGCCTTCATTTCTTGCTTGTATAGGGCCTCAGAGTCAGCCAGATCTAAGAGACTGGGGACCTCTCAGGTGTTACCTGGACACGCAAATAGTCTTCTAGATCATCAGTAATATGTTACAGCTTTCAAAAGTCCCCTATGGACAATTCATTCCCCAGATCTTTCTTTTAAGTTTTTGGCCTGGCTCTTTTTTGACTCAGCTGGTATTGCAGCCCTAGGTAACTGCAATATTAACTGTCACTGATTATTTTCCACAAATGCCTTGAGGAGAGGGCTTTGAGCTCTGAGTCAGGTCAAATAATGACGTCCTTCACATGGGGCTTTTCCACAGAGTTGCAAGACAGGTCAAATAATGAAAATGCCTCTGCGATGGGACTTTTTGAGCATCTTCAATCCCAGTCCACCCCTCTGGTGATGGCAAGGCTTCTGGTTTTCACAACTTCTATCATTGCAAGATTTCTGGCTGTGAAGGCTACCACAGAGTTGGGAAGAAGGAAATGGGAATAGGCCGTGTTGAAAACCCCTTAAACCCTGCTTAGATTCTGTAGTTTTTCTTGAATAAAGATTCCTAAGATTTTTGTCAACTTTTGGTTAATTTCCAGAGTTCTGAAAAAAATGTATTTTGACAATTTTTGCCAGTATTTTTATTGATTTTATGGAGGAGTAGATTAATGGAGGCCTTCACTCTACTATTCTAGTTGTATTCTTACCTTCCTTTAACTTTCCATAGCAGTTTGTACACCTGTAAGAAACTTCCTTATTCTTCTTTGAATTATGATTATATGGATACTTGTTCTCCACTAGAATATAGGTTTCTTCGGGACAGGAACTTTCTCTGGCATGTGCAATGCTTTACACATATCAGGTGTTAAGTTAATTATGGGTTGGGCAAATATCCCTGTACTTCTTAGAAGAATTGGGACTTTGGTTCTGGTATGGTCAGATGAGGCAAAATATCTCCACATGGCAAGGCGATTGATCCAACTTTCTTTATGTCCAGTATTGGCTCGTAGGAGGCAGCCTTCTTTAAATAATTCCATGGAGACAACATCAGTTTAACACTGCTGTTAGTCTTTAAGTTTTGGGACTATTATCTTAGAATATGGATTATTTAATCCATTTAACTAACATAAAATATTTACCTATTATGGGCCAGGCATTGTGCTGGTGCTGTAGATGAGGGAATAAGAGTAATAAGAGTTTTTGCCTTTGTGGAGCTTACAGTTCAGAGGGGAGACAGGCCAAAACAAAAATAAAACAAAATAAAACCCTAAAACTCTAAGTACAAAGTATGATAAGTATCACAAAGGGAATAAAATGATGTTGAGACAGCAGATATAAATATTTAGTACATTTACAATAACCACCCTTTCTTGCAATGTCTTCGCATTTAGGTAGACATCTGTCCTTGTGTAAAATAGTCCTCAGTGTGTTTTCATTTTCTTTGTCTTCCTAGGCTTCTTTCCTGGACCTGTACACACCATTTTAGCCATACATCTACTATAACATATGTAAAATTCACTGCTTAATTCTCACCTCCTCTTAGTTAGCATCATCTATCACTGTGATGGCCCTTTCCCTCTTGTTCTCCTAGACCCCTTTGGGGAAGACCTGGGTCAGATATGAGTGTTGGGAAATTGCTCAATTTTTAGGGGAGTGAAAAAAGAAAATACATAAAGGCACAGAGAAATAAGTGGCCATAGGAGTCCAATTAGACTATTGCCTTGACATAGAAGAGAATCCCCTACTGACTATTGGTTTTATCTAGCTGTGTTCCCCAGTGGAGGCCAGTAGGGGTGGGTGGCAAGTCAGAGGACAGAAAACTTGTGAGACACAGTTGGACTGGATTTGAAGTTTTAAGAGTAGCACTCAAAAGTCAGTACCAAGGTTATTTTCCATTTCTGACACCTAACATCTAGTGGAAACTTAGCTTGAAAAGTGGTGAAGGCTAGGAAAATGCAAAGTAGTGAGTGTTCATGTGCATGGAGGTAACTAGGGCACTAGGGCATGAGAAGTGTCACTGGTGACCTCACTAATTGGGCTGTGGTTTTTCTCTTTGGCAGTGTTTATCCAGCATGATGCTGCTCAGCTCTACCTCACAGTTTGGAACCTGATTAAGGACCAAATCACTGATGTGGACTTGGTAAGATTCGAGCACTAGAGAACTCAGAAGTTTAAGATGCTGCTCATTTAACTCATTCAGTGATTGTTAATGTAATATGTAGAGAGGATTAAAAGAGAAAATCACATAAAATGCTTATCACAATTCCATAATATTATTACTGTTAATTTGAAACTTTTTGAGTAGAGCAAAGAACTTTAGTGGCTGCTATATCTGGAGCTTCTGTCCAGTGGCTCCAATTTCTGGAAATTGGCCTGACCTGGTCTATTTATGGCTTTGTACCCTTCTTACCTCTCCCCTCCTCTTTCTCTTGCAGGTAGAGAGGCTGCAGGCCCTGTACATAATCCGGATGGAGGAGTCCTTGATTTGCCTTGAATGTACCATGGAGAGTAGCAGAAACAATAGTAGCATGCTGACCCTCCCTCTTTCTCTTTTTGGTATGGACTCAGAGCCCCTAAAAACACTGGTGAGAGATTTCTCTTAGTGAATTTGCTGTTCTGACACAACCCAGTGCCCCCTTGCTTCTTTAGTCCACCCTTGGCTTTTTTTTTTTAAATTGGGGAATTGGGGGAGGGGAACAGCCAAGTCCTTCAATCTTAGTCGTGGAGGGCACAGCAAGCTCAAATCCAAGTCCAGTTGTGACGCTCTGCTCAAGGTGCTGTGTTCAATTAGTTGCGGGTGGGCATAGCCCAACATCTCAAACAGGCAACCTCGTTGTTAGGGGCATGTGCTTTCACCCGCTGAGCCATCCTGCCACCTGTTAGCAGCTCAGTGGCAGCTCAGCTCAGGCGCAGCTCACTGGCCCATGTGGGAATCGAACCGGCAACCCTGTTGCTCAGAGCTCACTCTCTCGAGCAAGCTCCTAACCAATTGAGCCACTCGGCCAGCTCCACCCTTGGCTTTGAAAATATTTCTATCTTCTTTGCATGGCTCTGGTTAAGTTCTTTGATTTGGCAAAAAAAAATTTTTGTTTTCCTCCTATTTCCTCTTTCAAGTGCCCCCTCCTGTTTTTTCGTCCAATCAGCAGGTACTTTTTGAGATCCTGCCCTGTGCACCACTCTGGGCAAGACATTAAGGGAGATATGGAGAGAAGCAGAAGATAAGCTTAAATCCCGGTCTGCAGGGTGAGGGGCTGTACTCTAGGTGGGAAGTGCCAACCCTGCTTCTTCCTTATTCTCCTGTACAGGAGGATGCCCTTCACTGTTTCTTCCAGCCCAGGGAGTTGTCAGGCAAGAACAAGTGCTTCTGTGAGAACTGTGGGAAGAAGACCCGTGGTAAACAGGTACTCAGTCCCTGAAACCAGATTCTTCTCCACTCTGGGGTTGCCACTTGTGGGTTTCCTGGTGAACTCTTCCCAGAGTCCCCAGGGCAGCTCAAGACTGTTAATGGAGGGATACTGATCAGGCTAGTATCTGATGGGATCCTGGGGCTTCTCAGATCACATCAGGAGAAGGACAGAGCCTTTTAAAGATAAGAAGAGAAGGTCCAAGAGCAGGGGCCAGAGTTTTTTCCTCAGGGCTAGACGAGCTTCCTAGAGCAGACTCCATTGTTTGCCTGGGTTCCAGGACCTGTGTAGAACTGGGGCTGCTCAGGCCTTCCTTAGGAGAGCTCAGTAGATGCAGCAGATGGGGGCTGTCCACTGTGTATTGCATTATTCTGCTCCCTTCTTTGTGGGAAGAAAAACATACCACTGGCCCTGGTATTTCTCTGATTCTGCCCAATTGAAGTGCCTTAGGACTTCATCTCCACAGTGATTTTGCTTTTCTAGGTCTTGAAGCTGACCCATTTGCCCCAGACCTTGACAATCCACCTCATGCGGTTCTCCATGAGGAATTCACGGACAGAAAAAATCTGCCACCCACTGTATTTCCCCCAGAGCTTGGATTTAAATCAGGCCCTTCTGACTGAGAACAACTTCTGCAATGCTGAAGACCAGGTGAGACACTCCTCACCTTCCGTCCATCCTCATCTCGTCAGATACCATGTCCTTTCGATTTTGCCACTTCTTCCCCCTAAGCTATTTGAAGTCACTCACTCATCAGAGATGACATTTTGGGGATGCCTTGTTTGTGTCATTCTCTCATCTCAGAAATTATGTCCTCTGCTGGCTATGCTTAGGATACACAAAGGGAGGAAAACTTACCAACAGCTGGGTGTGGTTCATAGAAACATTTTCATGTATTCAAAAAACATTCATTTTTTTAAAAACAGCATCTTAATGATGGAAACCTGTGTGTTTCTGAATAACAATGATAGGTTGTTACCAACACCACCATTTGCTCTTTGTAGCTGCTTTTCTTTCCTTTTAAGATTCAAAAGACTATATTTCTAAATATTGGGTCTGTACTCATATGCCTCACAGCACTGAGGGAAGGAACCCATAATTCAGGACCTTCCTTTTAAATGAGATGTGTAATACTTACATGTACATAGATAAACACAGCATCTGGGGTTGTAACTATATAGTATCAACCAAGCCTTCTTAAAACAGCTTATGCCCACTTTGAAGATAATAGGGAAGTAACCAGTTCATTGGGCCAAATTTAATCAAAGTAAAGTTGAATTCAGTTGTCCTGAGCTAATAACTTATTGGGAGATTCTGAGGGAAAAGAAATGACATAAATATCTTTTCTCCATATACTAGAAATTCCACTTTTACCAAATTATATTTTATACTATCTAATCCAAACAAGGTCTATATTTGCATTTGCTTAAGTTGATTCCCTCCCTCCCTTTCTTTCTTCTTCGCTTAGATTAAGTGTCTTTTATGTTTCTTCTCCTTTTCTTTTCCTTGCAATTCATTTGGTTGAAGGTATTTTTTATATACTCGTATATCCAGAATTTGCTGGCTGTTGTTATAATGTTGTTCTTCTAGCCCTTGTATTTCTTCTAAATTAGATAATTAGATCTAGGCATTGCCCTGCATTTTTAAAATCCAGCATAAAGTCCTCAAATGAAAATAGAAAATAATGTGAGCCCTCCCTTTTGGGTGACTTAGCTTCATTTGCACTACCCTCACCCCGGTCCCGCCTCATTGATCCTGTTTCAAAGTCTCAGGTTAGGACCATTATTTCACTGTGTTGGGAAAATAGTATATTCCTGACTAATGTGGAGATCCTGCTCACAATCAATCAAAACTCTATCTCTCCTGTCACTATTCTTTTTTCACAGAGAATTATTTCTTATCTTGACTTTCTAAGGTTTGAGGGAGTAGAGTAACTTACTGCCAAATCCAATGGATACTTCTTGGTCTTTCTCTTTTACTCGATCTTTCTGTGCTAGTCTATGTTATTGATTCTACTGTCCCTCAAAATCGATCTACCCTAGGTTTCTCTTTTGCTGGATCCTTTCCTGCCCATCCTTTTGTTGGTCTGCAGTTTTAATACCATTCTTTCTTCTCCCCATTTTTCATATGTCATCTTATTAACCTCATGGTTTTAATGATCACCTCAAACTAAAGACTTGCAAATACATATCTCCTGTCCAGGTCTTTCTCTTGATTTCCAAACCAGTATACCCATTTCCTAGTGAATGTTGTCACACAGTTCCAAATTCATTATCTTCATTCCCAGCAGCTCTGTTCAATGTTAACTTTATAGTACCAACATATTCCTAAATCTCCAAGCCAGAAACCTGGGATTCATCCTTGTAACACCTTCTGCTTACTTCCCCACCTCTGCATCCAGTCAGTTACAATGTACCTTTCATTATTTCTCCCTAATTTTGCACAAATCTTACATCCACCCTCGCTCCCTCAGTATAGTGTAGGGGTTAAGAGCTTGAGCATTGAAACAGACAGGCCTGGGTTGAAATCCTGCCTCTTCTATTTATAAGCCCTGATCCTTGGGTAAATTACTTTACCTCCCTGAGCTCAGATTCAATCTCTGTAAAGTAGGATTTATACTCACACCCAGCTTCCAGGTTTGTGTGAATCTTAAATGACACAATGCATATAAAGACTTGGCCAAATGCAAAGTGAATGCTAAAAGTTAACTTATAATTATGTTAATAATGATGATTATCATTTTAGTGATTACTACAGATAGTAATTATTCAAGTTACCACCATTTCTTCCTTGCACTGTTGTGGTACCCTAATTTATCGTGCTGGCGTCTGTCTCACTTGAGCTCTCCATCCATTTTTCAAGCCACATTATTTCAGTGTATTTCTCAAACACAAATCTGATGATGTTCCTTTGCTGAAAACTTTCTGATGGCTCCCCATTACTCATGAGATAAAGTTCTAATTCCTGACTTGGCCTCGGAGCCTCATCGCTCATGACTTCCCAGCCCGCTCCCTGACTTCATTTCCTCAGTGTGCTCTGCTCTGTTATGCTGCCATGCTTTTGCAGTTTCGGGGTCCACATTCAAGGGTACCCACTTTCCACAGCTTGTCTGCCAATCTTGTTCATCCTGTAGGAGCAATTCAAGCATGTCTTCCCTGGGGAGCTTTCCTGGCTTCTCAGCCATTCCTCGGCTGGTTGCTCCTTCTCCTTTTTGGGGGGCAAAATTTGGGTCTTCCCAAATTTACCTGTAAATTCACTGGAATAAAACATGGCATTCTAATTCTGGCTTACCTAGCTGTGAAATTCTTGAAGTCAAGAACTGTTTGCTAGTTCCCACTCATCGAAGCACCAGTGACTGGCATGGAGTCGGCACTGAATAAATGTGGTGAGATGTTTCCTTTTTCAAAACGAGGGTTGATGGGTGAATTATGCTATGCCTTGTGCTCTTCCAGCTTGGGGGACAGTATGAACTCTTTGCTGTGATTGCCCACGTGGGGCTGGCTGACTTTGGCCATTACTGCGCCTATGTCCGGAATTCTGTGGATGGGAAGTGGTTCTGCTTCAACGACTCCAGTGTTTGTTGGGTGAGGAACATCATCCAAAATTGCCTCTTTCCCTGTATTAACTACCTCTGACATATTCTGATCCCAGGCCTAGATGGGTCCTCAAAGTCAAGCCACATTATATTTCTGTTCTCTGTGTGGGGAGACTTTTATGAAGTTTAAAGCTGTTTTCTGCGTGAAGTCCCCATCTGGTTTACAGCTCTATAAGACCACGTAGTGCAGTGTCTGGGTTTTTGGTGTTCCAGGCTCAGTGCCCTGCAGCTTCATGCTTTATGGGAAACTACGTGTGATCTTAGCCAAAAGGCCGAGAAGCGATGCTTTATGGGAAACTTATGGAAAGCAAGAAGAGTTAGAAATACATAAGTTAGAACTCTGGGCTGAGCACAGCCAAGTTTAAACAGAGGGACAAGGGTACTGAATAAGACTTCATGTACATGGCATCTATCACTAGATGCTGTGGGTGTTGGGGATTCCTAGGGATGGGTTTGTCTGTGGAGTGAGGGAGGGAAGATTAGCTGCCTGAATTCTCTCTGGATGCTTAGCAAAAGTCAGATGGCTGCTTCACTTTATATGTTTATGTACTTCCAGGTATCCTGGGAAGACATCCAGTGTACCTATGGAAATCATAACTGCCGCTGGTAAGAGAAGTGTTTCAGTAACAGAAACCCAATCGGCTTGCACAGGATTTTTGTTGCTGTGTGAAACTCTCATAGATTCAGGTGCCACTTACATTTGCATAGCTCCCCAGTGACTGACTGTTCAGCCTCATCTTTCAATACTCATCACACTGAACCATGTTTTTCTCACAATTTAGACTCCAGTAATACTAAGTGTAAGTTGCTCCCCAAACATCAGATCCTCCGTTTTCTCTCTGAGGCTTTGCACATGCAGTTCCTGGCCGGTGTTACTCTCTTAACTTATCATCAAGGCAAAGTCCCATTATACTCCAGTACCTCTGCTCAGGGCCTTTGGCTGCTCTGTAAAGCCTCACTGATGCACCCAGGTGCACCTGTAGTGGTTTCTCATGTGCTTTCACTGCATTTTGATCATACCTGCTTTATAGAAAGGGTCACACTGTTTTGTAATTGTTTGCTTATATAACTTTCACGTTAGACTATGAATTCTTTTGGGTCAAGAATCACTCTTTTCCTCTTTCTTTGTCTGGTACAGTGGCTTGTATTTAGTAAATATCAATAACTGTATTTTAAAAATTAATACAGAGGGGAAGCTGGAAAGAAAAAGGCTGGGTGAAGTTAAATCAGAGATTTTGTAAGTTTTCCCAGCTGAGTTTCTGGGTTAGGGGTGACGTAGTATACCAACGTGATATTTGAGATGATTTCAGCTGCAGAAGTAGGCCTGATAATTAGAAAAAATAATGAATTAGGTAAAATTTGTGTTTGAAAATTTCCTCTAACCTACTTTTTCTCTTCTCTTTCTTCTAAGCATCTCCCTTTGTCACTTTCTGGTTGTCAGTGATTCCCCCATTATTTAGATTGGGGTTTGCAAACTTTCTCTGTAAAGGGCCAGGGAGTAAATATTCTAGGCTTTTGGGGCCACACAGTCTGTGTTGCAACTGTGCCCTTGTAGCCAAAAGCAGCCACAGACAATACACGAATGAATAAGTGTGGCTATGTTCCAATTAAATTTATTTGCAAAAACAGGGTTGGATTTGGCTCATGGGTTTGTAGCTTTTAATCCTCTAATTTAGATGTTAACTAACAGCAGCTTAGTGGTTATTTTTCCAGGTTATCCATTTTGCTCTCCTCGGAGGTGATGGTTAGATGAACGCTTGATCCAACAACCTGGAAAGTTTGCTGATGTTTGTCCTATCATGAATTAATGTGTCAATTAGCTATGAATGTTTCATATATACTATGATGTTGCATTTTTTTTTCTTTCTAGGCGGGAAACTGCATATCTTCTGGTTTACATGAAGACTGAGTCCTAATATTGTACCCCAAATCTTCAGAGACTGACAAAGTATCATTTTCCTGTTCTGTCCCTAAATCTGTTCTTTTAAGAGATTTTGCAATTAAGAGAAGTACTACCATGTTTCCCCAAAAATAAGACCAAGTATTATATTAGTTTTTCTCCAAAAGATGCATTTTATTCATTTATTCATGTACAAAAATCTACATTTACTCAAATACAGTCATGTCTGGCTGACGATCATAACTGGGGCTTATTTTAGAGTAGGGCTTATATTACAAGCACCCTGAAATTCATGCTAGGGCTTATTTTCCAGTTAGGTCTTATTTTTGGGAAAATGTGGTATTGTCAAACTGTATAATTTAACTTTATTTATAATCAGGGGTGATTATCAAAATATTGAACAGTGACACTGCACAGGTCTCAATCAGTCAGAATGGATACTTCCACCAGTGAACCCCAACCACATGGTTGTAACAGGGTCCTGAGTGCTCCCTGCTGTACAAGCCATTGATCCTTTAGTTGGGAGATTGTGGGAATCCAGATGCTTTCAGGGAAGGAGAGACCTGGCCAGCAATGGTAGCGGGAAGCATTTAGGTGGCAAGGGAGTGGTAGGGAAGGAAGTACTTCAATATTTTATAACCAGTATGACCATACTGGTATGTACTGGCTGAATATCATTTCTGTTTATATTTTTTTAATTTTTATCTTTAGAACCCATATTAATTCCATAAAACTCAAGTGTTTTATCATTGTTGTTCATTTATTTGACGAATATGTATTGATCACCTACTCTCCATAAGATAGTGTGCTAGGCACAATGGTGAATAAAGTTCTTCCTCTCAAAAAGTGTTTGCTGTTTAATGAGTGGTAATTAAAATACATAAGATACTGAGGGTTTGTGCTATAGGAATTCAAAGGAAAGTGAAATCACTTCCATTGTGGGGCCGTGGGAGAAGCCTTCAGACTCGAAAGGGGCTTAGGGTGGAAGACAATCCATTTACAGGGAAAAGCACACTCAGTGGCCTGGTTGGAAAAGGCAAGGCTCAACGTTCAAAGACAAACCTGGCTTCCCTCTACCGAGGAAGAAAGTGCTAAGTGTCAATGATGGCAGGTAGCTGGGGCTCTGAATGTAGAGGGTCTTGAACTAAGCTAAGGAGTTTGGATCTAATTTAACAGGTGATGAGGAACTGTTGAAGGGCTTCAAAAAGGAAAGGAACATGCAGTGGTATTTTGGTAAAATGAATCTGCTGGGCGCTGGGGACATGGATTAGAGACATGATAGGGTGAATGGAAAGGTGTTCACAGTCACTAGAGCCATTTTGGAAGAACAACAGATGTAGACAGTGAAAGAAGAAGCTCCAGGGAGACTCCAGTACCAATATGGGAAGTGAGCAGGGTAGATGTTAACATCCCCATTTCACAGATGAAGTGATTGCAACCTTCATATATTTAATGACTTGTTCAAGATTTCATACTTGATAAGTGGCAGAGCCAAAACTTCCAAAATAAAATGTGGGTAATTTCTTTATTGTTTGGTGAAAAATTAGCCAAGAAAGAACAAATTCTTACTGTAAAATATTCCAACAATATAGAAGTATACAGAATATCTTCCTTAGAGCTAACCATTGTTAAACAGGTGTGTATTAGTTTCCTAGAGCTGCTGTAACAAATTATCACAAAATGAGTGGCTTAAAACAACAGTGATTTATTTTCTCACAGTTCAGGAGGCCAGAAGCCTGAAATCGAGGTGTCAGCCGTGTGGGTTCTTTCTGGAGGCTCTGAGGAGAACCTGTTCCATGCCTTTCTCCTAGTTTCTGGTGGTTGCCAGCAATCCTTGTCATTCCTTTGCATGTAGCTGTGTCTCTCCAGCCTCTGCTTTCATCTTCATGTGACCTTCTTCCCTATGTGTCTTCACATGGCCTTTGTATAAGGACACCAGTCATTGGATTTAGGGCCCATCCTAATCCAATAATGGCCTCATTTTCACTTGGCTAATCACATCTGCAAAGACTCCAAATAAGATCACATTCTGAAGTTCCAAATGGACGTGAATTTTGGGGGGATGCTATTCAATGCAGTAAAAGGTGTGTATCTCTCTAGGCCTTTTTGTATGCATTTGCATGCACATATATCACAGATATAAATAATTTTTACATCTGTCAAATGAACTCAAATGGAGTCTGGAAACTTTGCCAGAAATAAATGATTGAGATTTACTGGTATTCAAGGATCTTAGAGTTTGCAAACTGGAAACAGGCAAAAACCCAGAAGCGTCCAAAGAAGAGAGAAGTTAAAAGTTCTTATAGTAAAGGGCGGCTGGGTGGCTCAGTTGGTTAGAGCACGTGCTCTGAACAACAAGGTTGCTAGTTTAATCCCCGCATGGGCCACTTTGAGCTGTGCCCTCCTTAAAAACAAACAAAAAAATTTCTTATAGTAAAAAGTTCATTCTTGAGACCAGTCCTGCATTCTTAGCCTTAGGATAGGTCCAGGACATTTATCAGTCAGGATGATGAATGCCAGGTAGTCCAGAAGATGGATGCCAGGAGGTCTGGTCACGTCCCGTGCTCTGGATAATGGATGTCGGGTTGATGTATGTGTGAGTCCTTCAGGGGTAATTCGAGTGTTACCTGGAGGTCAGATGTATATCCAGGCATTGACGCAGGACTAGAGAGTTAAAAAAATTTAAGTTCCCAGGCTAGTTAGAACAAGAATATAGTCTTTCCTCATGCCTCAAACTTCAAAATGTTAACAATTTTAGAAGCTTGGTTAAAGTGACCCCATTTTATATATTTCCTATCTTCACTCTTTCCTCATATCATAAATTATACTGTACAAATTCTGCTTGTGGTTTTCACTTAAAAATGTCTTAGAAAAATTTCCAGGTTTGTATATAGGTGGATAGTATTCATTTATTTAAAACTTTTTTAAAACTTTAAACAAATTTTTATTACACAAAGGTTGTCACATAATTGGATATTACTACTTTGTACAAAATTCTTACTGTCCACAAATAGGCTGCTTCTTAACTTCTCATCGGGTGATGGCAAGTACTAAAGTCCAGATTTTAACAGAATAGTTAAATAGTAAATGCCTCACTGATTTAAGCTGACAGCAGTACGTTGGTACATGGCTCTTGCACTTGGTTATCTGGAATATATATATATATATATATATATATATATATATATATATATATATGTCTTTTTATTCCAAAATACAAAATAAATTATCTGTAGGCATGGACAATGACAACAATAGACCATTATATTCTGTCAACTGAAACCAGTGACTGATGGGTATAGTGATTTTCTTAAACATCAGCCAGCTTTTCTTCAGTCATTTCCTTCAGCTGACTTCTCTGAAGTTATAGATGAGGAGCCTTGAGCTCCCTCTCACATTTATCATTAGTAACGGTAAAGCACGGCTCTAGGAATTAGAACATGTCCCTTCCCATACATGCCGCCTCGCATTCCACCCATTCCTCCCATTCCAGGGTCTTTCTCTTCTTTAGGAATTTCTGTGACTACAACTTCTGCTGCAGTTAACAGAGAGGCCACTTTAGCAGCGTCCAATAAAGCAGTCCTTACAACCTTAGTTGGTTCAATGATTCCTTTTTCCACCATATTCACCAAACACATCATTATAACTGTAGGGAAAATAGAACTGGTCAGGTTCCCTCAACTGGCCATCTGACAGAACTATGACCTGCCGGGTTGAGGGGGTGGGATGAGCACAGGCACGTGCACCCTGTTTATGTATACTCATATAAGTGCCTTGGCTGTGTGCCACCTTTGTCTCTATAGTATAAAACCCGGCCATTGAACCAGGCGGGTGGTACCTAGAGAGTCAGTGAATAAAGAAGTATGTCACTTCTGCCTGAGGCTCCGTGTATCTTCTTCCAAAGGCGTGGGCACTCTGTGCCAGGATTCCACCACTCTCGGACAATAACCAACTTCTGAGGAACTTTGCATAGTTTTTCTCAACTATTAATGATCCCTCAACACCTGCATTCTTAGCAATGGTCATTGCAGGAATTTTCAGTGGTTTTTAAAAATAATTTCTATACCAATATTTTTTATCTTTGTTAGCTGGAGTTAATGAGTCCAAGGCTGGAATGCACCGAAGCAGGGCACAACCCACTCCCAGAACAACGCCTTCCTGAACAGCAGCTCGTGTAGCATTGAGGGCATCTGTTACTCTTTCTTTTTCTTTCTTTCTTTCATGTGGGAGTCGAACTGGCAACCTTGCTATTAAGAGTGCACGCTCTATCCACTGAGCCAGCCAGGCAGCAGCTCAGCTCAAGGTGCTGAGTTCAGTCCCAGCCATGGGTGGGCATAGCCCACCATATCTGTTACTCTTTCTTTTCATTCACACAGCTACTCCATTTGAAAGTTTTACCAAATGTTCATTTAGTTCATATTCACTGGTTGTGATACCCAATTGCTTGATGATTTCTTGAATATATTTTTCAATTTGAGCCTCGTCTTCTTTTTCTTTTAAGAGCATGGCACCATCTTTGGTCACAGTGATTTCTCCAACTTTTTGTAAGTCATGAGGCTGAATGTCCTCAAGATTTAGAGTCAATCCTTCTCCAAACACTGTACCACCTGTACCAATAGCCATGCCTTTAAGCTGGTTCTTTCTATTGTTACCAAAACATGGAGCCTTTACTGCTACAACCTGAAGACCAACTTTTAGCCTATTCAAAATGAATGTACTTAGCACCTCTCTATTAACATCTTCAGCAATTATGACTAAGGGCTTACGGTGAGCATGGGCAATTTCAAAGGCAGATACAGTGGACTGGACACTTGAAATTTTCTTTTCACTCAGAACACAGGAATCTTGGAATTCACATTTATCTTTTGATGTATTAATAAAGTATGGAGAAATATAACCTTGATCAAACTTCATGTGCACAGTAATTTCTAATTCATTATACAGGGTTTTTGTATCATTTACTGAGATGATGCCCTTTCTTACACCTTTTTCATTGCATAAGAAATGATGTTGCCAATTGTCTCAAATGATTTGCAGATCATAGCAACCTGAGCACTTTCTTCAGGGGTTGCCACAGGTGTAGACTACTTCTCAAGTTCAGTTACAGCATCAACAGCTGACACACACCCCTCCTGATCTCCACTGGATTAGCACCTTTGCTAATCTTCTCAAAGCCCTCCTA